CCCCAAAACCCCAAAACCCCAAAACCCCAAAACCCCAAAACCCCTTAATTAGATAGTAAACTTGAAAAATAAACGGTATAAGAAAAAATATGGAAGGTTTTAGGCTATTTTTCTTGTTTGAATTTGATATGAAATCCTTAAATGTTCAAACAGTTAAGATATCTTACGAAGAATTAGGTGAGGTAGCAGTTGTTTTTTGTCAAAACAAGGTAAGTCAAATATGGATAAAATGTTCTTTCTGCAACTCTGAGCTCCTTAAAATTCTTGGAACTCCCTAGCTTCTTATAATAATGTGGTACGAGTTATTATAAAGATCAGACTGAGTTTTTTTAATTTCTAAAAAGATAAGTAAGCATTTAAAATTATCAAAAATTCCTCTTTACTCTCAGACTGCATCCACTAATACTGACACAACAACAAATCCCCCCACTTCCATCAGTAAACCCTCAGCTATAAGTTATTTAGCATCACCAGCTCCTTTAGACATCAAAACTCTATACATCAAAACTCTATACATTGTCTATTCTCAGCTAATACTAAAATTTAAAATTTCTTATCTTAACTTCTATCGTTCTCTTCGATCCCATTCCAAATTTCTTAAGTTCAAAACCCCCCAAAGAACATCCTAGGAGTAGCTCCAAGCTGTAAATAGATGCTAAAGCCTTATCTTGGCCTGAAAGTCTCCTGCTGGACTACAGTCACTCTTAAGAAGTGTCTCTTCCTTTAAGAATTCGCCAAGCGAACCCACAGGTTTAGAATAAGAACAAAGCTCATTGTGGAACGTTTAAAGCAGAAAGTGGAAATCCATTTGTAAGCTGACTGGGAGATTAGTGGGATGCAAGTAGAGATCCAAGTGTTTAGGGAGGATAAGACTGAAGGTTTAGTAGAAGGGGATATATGAGAGAAGAGGATTAGGAATATGTGCAAAAGAGATTATTTAGATGGTATTAGATTCAAATTAGGTGACCATGCTTGGGGTTTTGGGGTTTTGGGGTTTTGGGGTTTTGGGG